ACTATCCCTTTCAAATTTGTCATCCCTAAGGATCTGTAACTGGACAGCATGGCTAGCATTTTTGGATGCAAGGTCCTGGTCAGATTCTGCAAGGAGTTCCAAGAGAGCAACAGCCAGATTAGGTCGTCTTCGTATCATTGCCTCCCTGCTGGAACCGACCTAGGAATCCAGCCCACATGATCTCTCTGCAGCTGACTCTAGTAGTAAACAATCATGCACCAGATTGCAGCACATGCAGTCAGATTCTCAGGCGGCTAAGAACAGCTTTGCTCTTTTCTACCTATGCAAAGCTGCCTTACAGCAAGCTGTTTGTGATTTACAGTAACAAATAGAGAAGGAAGATCACTGCAGTGCTGTGACACTCCATCTCCTGATGCAAGGGGCTTGGTCAAAGGAAAAGGGCTTAGATAGGATAAGTCCTAGATCCCATCACAGTCTAGCTCCTGGGATACTTCACAAAGGCTACAGACACACACCCTGTCAAATGAAAGTGACACTGGAGCTCACTGGAGAGCGATCTGGGTAGGTCAGCCCAGAATCAGTAGGTGCAGATGTTACTTTCAAGGACCAGTTTCAGAGCGGAACACTCAGCACCAGTCCACACCTGGATATGGCCCACAGTCTGTATAACAGACAGCCACCTCTGGAACTAACAAAAACATTTAGTTCCATTTAATATCATGCACTTTTTCCCCCACAAAACACAGCTTTAGATGCCACACACAATGCGCGCTGCACAGCCCTACCACAGCTCGAGGGAATGCAATTAGAACAGCAAAGAATATCAGCAGATGGACAGTAACAACCACTTAACTGCTACGACTTATGTTTAAGATAAAACAAAATCCAGGAACAACTCCAATTCCCAGTTAGATAATACAGCAAAGCAGCAGTTCCGGCTCTGAACTACTTTCAACTGACTTAGATCCCAGGAAAGCAAAGGAAAAACTACCATAGAATCTTTCGACCCTCAGACAGGCTAGTTCCAGTTCACTGTTCCCATTTTATTCAGCTCTGAAAATAAGCACCAAGCACTGTACTTAGCTCTCAGAGATAATACTCCTGCATCCCGCAAAAAGCCAGGTGAGAGCTTTAGATTTGTGATCCTTACTCTTTTGTAAGAAAAGTAAATAGGTAGAAATTCATGAGTATTTCTTCCCTGTAAACATCAGTATGGCTGCTATAACTAAACCCAAGGTATTTTGAAATCTTAAGCAGAGGCGGGTAACCCAGATGGAAGAAAATGGTACATCATTTCTGATATACTTCAAGTTTCAAATTACTTGGCAGCTTGGGAAATGCACTCAGCACTCAAAGGACCCAAGGGTCCAGCTATTCTCAGCCAGAGGGAGAGGCTGGCCGGCCACGTTGGTGAGCATCATTTACGAAAGAAGTCAAAATCAGTTAGTCCATTGATTCATCCTCTGAAAGCTTTTATTTCCTCTCCTCTCTATAACAGCCTCTTACTCAATAGAATTCTTCTCAAAGGATAAGAGTGGCTGGAAATTTCCCAGTGAAACATTTAGTCAATAGACAGATACACAGACAGACAGACAGACAGATACATAGATAGCTTTCTTAAGTGCTACTTTGGTGAGCCCAAAATGCCTTGTTTGAAACAGCCTGTTTGAATGACTTTTGGAGAAGCCGAAGGCTTGAAGCCCACTACAGCTGCTGCAACTGACAGGAAGGTCAGACTCCCCCAGCAGCTGTTGGGTCCGGGGAGACTTTGGTTTCCTGGAAATTTTGTCAAGTTTCTGATTCAGGTCAGCTTTGATATAAGCCAAACTTCAATTCCTGCAAATCGGTAGCCCTTGCTTTTACTTACCTCTGGTCATAATTTCTAGGGGCATAACAGAGGTTGCAGTACTGCCCATTCCTGACAAGACCAAATGCTGAAATGGTACAAATGAGTCTGTCTCAGAATCATGGCATTATCTTCAAATAATGACGCTTAAAGTAACAGATGTCCTTTTTCCTTGCCGTCTGGTTTCCAGACCTCTGATATGCACGCATCCCACAGCTCTAATGATTTTCTTTGCAATAGCAGTGTGAAAACTTGTAACCTTTCCTTAAAAATAAGGAAAAACTGAAATGTCTGCACAAAACAGTCTTCCAATTCTGCCAGTGTGGCAAAACTCTGATAAAAATAGCAGAGTTCCAATACTACACGCTTCTAGATGGGGCTATTTAGAACTACAGCTCTATTGCCAACAGCGTTAAGGGAGAAACCCTTAGGTTTTGGGTTTTTTTTTTTTAAATCAAGTGGCACAGCTAATGTCTGCAGGTGCTATGGAGGCAACAAATGGGAATGTACACAGCTACAAGGAACAAAAGCACTTTAAGACAACTGTGAAGGAGGCAGCTCTTCGTAAGCGACCTATATGAAGCACTCTGTGGATGTAGAGAGAAGCTAAGGAGGTAAGCTTGGTTATTCATCAGAAAAAGGGGGGGAAATCAAAAAAGGACTAAAGAATTGGAGTCCAACTGAATATAGGCCTCACATTTTCAGTTACCTACCTCCTCCAGCATGGCAAAACCCCCCCGAGGAGTCAGATTCTGTAAGCCTCCAATCTGTCTGCAAACACCTAGTGTTTCTCCAGTTTTATGGACAGTGCTACATCAAAACTTGAGAAATTGTGATTTCTTCTGCAAATTTATGTGTAACAAGAGCCCTTAACTACAAGACTGCCAGCCATTTCACACAGCCCTAATGCCAAGACTTCCCAAGTGCCGTAGGTAGGAAGCAGTGTTCCATAGATTTGTCCATTAGACAGGATGGGATGCTTAAAAACACTGCAGTGGAACAGGTCAGAAGCACTGCTTCAGTGGTATCACAAAGGTACTTAGGGAACACCAGCAGCTCTTGCAAGACCAAGATGGGACCGAGGACAGTAGGCTAGCTGACTTGCCTCTGGCCAGTTCGTCCATCCATCTCTTCAGGTGAGAAGATCCAGGATTTCCCATACAATAGAAGACTACAAAGCTGGAGTTTCTCAGGTACAGCAACAGTCCTGTGAGGCAGCATAGCTGTAATTGTACGCTTCCCCAGGTGCCCCAGGTAGCCTGCCAAGCACTCTGAGCAGTCTTGCTGGGGTTATTCCCAACAAGCTTTTGTGTGGCTTAATTATAACAACGTTAACAGACTACATCCTCTGTTGGATGGGTTTGAAAGACCTAGCCTCTGGGTTTGAAAGACCATTCTGGGTGCCTCTCTCATGGCCACAACAAACCTGATAAAGCAGCCCGGTGGGAACTCTGAAAGCTTCTTCATTTACATTAGGAGCACCCTCATCTAGCCTCCCCTTGCCTGTCTCTGGTTATAGCAAATCCTACATTTGACTGTATATATTAAATAAGTTGACTTTTCTAAAGCAGCATTGCCCCCTCCCAACCTATTTTTTACTTACAGGTAACTTCAGTGACAGGGGTTACCCTGATTAGAGTATGGAAGCAACAGCCCAAACACAGTTCCCCTCATGTGCAGCGAGAGCACATAATCTGCCTCTCCAAAATTCAACTCAGAAATCCTGCTGATAGCAGCATAAAGCAGACAGACACCTCCACCTAGTGGGAAACACACAGCAGCTCTGGTTCTCTGGAACAGGAGTGGCTTCAGTTCTGTAGTCAAACCCACACACCTACCATGGACCCCAAAAGGAGCTTTGTTTTTTAAATCAAAGGAGTAATAATGACAGCTATTATGAAATGACAGCCATTATGCAATCTGAGTGCTTTATTTTTAATCATTAAGTGAACGGTAGCTTAAGAAAAAACAGATTAAGCCTACAAAGTTATAAGAATTAGTTACCGGCTTACCATTAGACATAACTGCAAACAGCAGTCTTTTGCCTTATGTTAGTGTAATGATATACTTTGGCAAAGCCAAATGCAATAGGAATGTAAAATGTTAGAGAAACAGAACAGTAGCATTTTATACTGCTTTTGCCGCTCAAGAGGACTAAATTCCTGAATGAAAAATAAAAAGCCAAGTAAATCTTCTGTACGTAAAAAATTGTTACATCTGCATGAGCCTACCAGCTTACCAGGTAGCTGAACCTACAATTTAAAGCACGTTCATTTCTTCTTGAGTCACTGCTAGTGTTTTCTGTGAATAGTTTAGGGTTTCATTTTTTTTTAATACCTTATCTAGATAAAGGTGAAATAAATAATCGTGACGTGGAAAGCAGAAGCTGAGGAAAAAAAAGCATCTTGTATCTAGTCCCATTTCTGACTCTCAGTACCGGCATCTGTAGAGTCCTACTGTTTCAACAGCAAGATAAAGGCGCCACCCTCTGGGCTTTCTGGGACTGGCCAAGAGCATTAAGATGTACTACTCAACGTAGACAGTCACAGCAAAAAGGCTACAATAACTTGGTTTGGCTGACCTTCAGTTACGGTAATCTTTTCTAGTTCAGAATGAAAGATGTATGTTTTGCTTCTGCCATCAGCCCTTAATTGTCTTTTTACAGGTCAGAAAAAATAAAAAGTTTTCATTCACATTTTACAGTAGAATGTTGCCTTCTGAAATGCGAGTGGATGTATTTCTGAAAAGTTCAGTCGCTAGAATTTTTGTGTAGCCTGCAAATCAGTGCCTCTAGTTAGACACAGCAGCTTTGCCTCCCATTAAGTTTTTTTATGGGACTACCCAGATGCACTTTCTTCTGATTCTTCATACATAAGTATTTCCAGGAGGATTTGGGTTGGATACTGCACTTATTTTCCTGTTTAAAAACGATACCAAGTTCTTATTTTAATATAAAGTGACACCACATCTATACATAGTTTAGCTGCATATACACATGCAGCATCGTTACAAGCGACGTATCTAAACAAGGACTGACAAAAGCTAGGCTCAAGGGGACTGCTGATGCAATTCTTCTGCACCTGCTGTTTGGCCCAGCAGACTTCGAACTTTAGTGCTTACTGAATCAAACCCATTGCCCCTGCCCAGTAGTTCCAAGTTCTCAAGTACTTTCATGCTCAGTGATGTCACATACCTTGCACAGTTCAGGTTGGAGACACCTTTCCCTTTCATTTTCCACACACAGCTACTCATCTGCACCGTTAGGGTCAGGAAGCTCTAGATGCAAAAAAAACTGCGTTAGTAGTTCATTTTTTCAAAAACATGTCTTAGACTTGTCCATTCATTGGCTGTGATTATTTACATCATCTAAGTTCACGTAGGGATATACCTGCCACCCTCCAAAAGCAATTTTTGTAATGCAAAGTACTCGTTCTGAACAGCAACAGCAGGTTTAAAGCTTACTTTCTAACACACATTAGTAACAAGTTTATGCACTTTTCACTGCACAGACAGTTGACGGTTTTGCTAACAGACTTGTTGAATTACAGGCACATCCTCCAACGCTAGCTTCACAAGAACCACTGGGACTTCTTCCAAATTTCACAGAAATTCGGAGTTAGGATAGTTTAATCAAACCCTTTCCTCAGAATAGCTGCATACACAATCCTCAGTCCTTTGTAACAGTCCGTTAGAACATGCATTAAATCACTTTCATTGCTTTAGTATTCTTGCATTTGCATTCAACCCTTAGTATGTTTTCCTCTTCCCAATTCCCAACCATTCATGTTTACACACAGCCTTGGACTCTCTATATTCAGTCTTAAAGATAGGATATCAGCCATCAGGATAAACTTACCAGCTGACTCTAAGATGATGAGCGAAGCTTCTTTTTAATCTGATGCATAGCAGAGACTGAGCCTTCCCAGCATGGGCTGAGCCTCACTCTAGAGGCTTTAAAGCTCGATCAAGCGCTGGGTTTGCTTCAGGAGCTCTCCAAGGTTCGCCTCGTTAGGTCCCGAGGTTAACGCAAGCTTCCTCCAGTGCTTAAGCAGTCCCTTCCGCCAAGTGCCAGCGTATGAGCACGTTCACTTCTTAGCTCTTTAAAAGCACACAGCAGCTACCAAGCAGATGCCCAATATATCCACTACGGCACTCACCAACAAAGCCCTGCTGCAGCATTCACTCATCTGTGAGGAGGACTCTATCCTAGAGTTTTGGCTCCCCTTTGCTAAGTGCTATTTCACTGTCTCACATCGTCTTGAGTAGGGAAAAAAAGATGCTACTATTTCCTTCAGCTCCAAGAAGATTCCACAGTAAACACAACCTGCTTTCTCTGCACTTTGAAGATACTTCCGGAAAGTGAGAAACAAAGGATTCTCTCCTATCTCAAGTCCCTGTTCCTTCTCTAGAAAAAATGCCACTGCTCCCCTCTCTCCAACCCATTCAACCCACTTTATCTGCAGAACGTCAATAGCTGAATTTTGACAACTGAAATCCAAGTATCTGCCTCTACCCATCCAGATACCAGCTCAACAGAAAACAAACAAACAAACCCCAAACACTACAAGAGCATAATCCACACATACCCATGCAGTTAGCAGCTAACTTGCCAAAGTTTCACATATGCTAGCTGGCTACTGGTTGCTACCTGGAAATACACAGGATTTATGAGCAATGGTAAATACTTGTTCCTTTCTCCACCTTGCAATTATCAACGGTATTAACATTTATTAGCTGCAGAATTGACTAAGTCGCTAAAAAAGATTTGCCTTAATGGTCTCACAGCAGGAGTATTATGGGCTACATGAGATGCATTTTGCATGAATTTAAGCATTCTGGAATGCTTAGAAGGAAATGCATGAAAACAGAAGTTGGGAGCATAAAATTAGGAAGATGGATTTCAAAACATATTAACTGATCACCCCAGTAGACCATTACAGCAAAAATTTAGCTTTGTTTAATAAGAAGTATCACGCGGGATGTACAACTTTCTGCCAGAAGCATCTATCAGGGGGAAAAGTGTACGTGCTGTTAGCGTTTTACTCATGGAGACCCAGGCCTCCTCTCTAAGAGAGAAAGCTGAGCATATCTTGCGAAACAGACTTCAACACCAACTCTCCAGACTTTCAGAGGATTTTGCAGACAGCATGAATACGGACCTTCCTAAAGTATGAGGGTTTTTGTTTTTGGGGGGGAACTGAAGTCAAAAGTTTCCAAACTGATTACCAGCAGGCTTACTTTTCCTCATCACTGCATGCTCCCCCCCCCAGCAATAGACCAAGGATCTGAGGGCCCTGAAGAATCTAAGTTTTAAACAAGGTACTGCTTTGAGGCAGACTTAAGCAGAAGCTCAAACTCTGTATTCGAGATGAGAACTAGGTCTACAGAAAGATCACACAGTAGAAAAAAAACGCATTAAATTTGAAATAAGTCATCTCACGCAACTCAACTTTCATGCGCACCACAGATCTCTGACTAGTTAAAGCTTTGGAGAGAGACCAAGAGACTGGTCCTATGGTAGAAGTAGTTTTCCTGCATCACCCAATGAAAGGTCTTTATTTTTTTTTTAAAAAACACTTGTCCCCTTAATCCTACTTCATACGTCAAAATAGCAGTCTAGTGATGTGAGCCTATTCCTCGTTCCTCTCAGAATCCATCCTGAACTTAAAGCAGCATACTGAGCAAGCTCAAGAAAACTTATGCACAAGGCACTAAGTCCAGTAGCATCCAGTCTGAAATACTTAAGACAGAAGTAGCAGAGTAACCAAAACGACTAACCTTTTCTTACACTTTTCAAGACCTATCCAGGAACGCGCCTTTGCACCAGTATTCCACTCCTGCCTCAAGCATTAAGTTTAACTTGTTATAACTGCTTCAGGAACAAAGCTATGCAGAGACAATTTATACTTGATGCTTGCACCTAATCAGTCTCTGAAGTTAAAGGGTGCTTTCGGATATGCTTTAACAACTAGTATGGAACGAGTATTGCATGCTGCCATTGAGTTCCTCTGTGAACCATTTAGTCTGAGCCAGTACCGCAATCTCTTGCTCAAAATAACGCCGCAAGTGTTAGTGCATCAGCGCAATAAATGAAGATCTCATGTAAGAGATGAAGGAAAGGCGAGGGTCCAAAACACAGATTCTTCTGATGACTGAAGCTGGTCAAGTCCGTTCAGAAGGGACATCGATGCCTATCTTCCTTTATGCCCACCTTAATGTCTAGTAAAGTGCCGTAGCCTGTAATACAACAAATTACAAAAGGCACTCCTCCAACCATCTTCAAAGCAGGTAAGTAAGTGGACCAACTATTACCAAAAATGAGTCAGTTTTAAACAGTTAATTAAGAGTCTTCTTTTGAGTTTTATTTGTTTATAGCAACATCAAGCACATGTTTCTATTTAGATATTTAAGTGCAACAAGGAAATCCATTACCTCATTAACCTTCAGAAAGGTAAGTTATGTTTCTATAAGCAATGGAAAAGATTATTTAAAGTGTCTCCCTTTGTCACACAAGTTTAAAGTTTCAACAATCTAAGTAAACACTTCTCAGAAACAGACAAGCACACATTTTGCTTGATTATGAAATGCTTTTGCTGGATGAGCTAAGTGTTTTCTGCAGTAGCGTAATTCATTTGTAAGCCTCAGACACTACTACAAGAGTGGTATCAAAGTAGAAGTGGTGCAATTTTAGTAGTCTGTGCAAGAATTCCACTCTACTTTTTGCAGGACGCATATCTTGAAGATACATTCTCCCAGTTGATCACATTCCAGATGGCTTTCAAATAATCAGGTCGGACGTTTTTATACTGAAGATAGTAAGCATGTTCCCATACATCAATTCCTAGCAAGGGAATAAGACCTATAAAAAAGGAGGATAAACTTTGTAAGTTTATGAGAACATTCTTTGCATGTAAAATACTATTTTGCATCCTCAAGTTGTACTAGATTTCTGAGTCTTGATCCGCAGGAGACAAAGAACTCTCCAGCATACAGACGCTCACCGCTACATTTTACAGAACTAATTATTCTCCAAATGCACATACACTGTATGATTCAAATGAGCTGATTAAGATAAACATCTACGAGTACTTTAGAACTTTCTTGAAGACATGACTGAAACTAGGTAAAGTCCCTTTTGAAAAGTTTACATCTTTCAGTTATGCAAGCATTTTCCTTAAACACTGCACCACAAGAGTCTCATGCCCTAACAGTTTGCTTTCATTTAAGTGACCAGTTACTTTCCTTGCTTTTGTGGTAAACATACTTCTTGTTGATTTTTTTTTAACTGGGAGTTTTCGAGGGGAGGGTGCAGAGCGAAAGGTATCTGCCTTATCTGTATTTCCCTATAGTAATTTTCTTTTTTCTCCTACTAATAAGCAATACATGGATTGCTGTAGATGTCGACAGTAGATATGAACAACACATGGTATTCATGGGCATTCTCTATGAATTCCACAGAGGATGTTCTAAAGACATCTGCAATAGGATTTGAAGAAGCAACCGTCGTGGACAGAATTCTCACTGGACATGAGATCTTCCCTCTGCGGAAATTGTCTGGCCTGCCATCATCACTCCCCTGTGTCTCTACACAAGTTAAAATACCTTCAGAAGGGATTATGGCCAGCATTATTCTGTTTGCTTGGCCATAAGGGTTATCTCCATCCAAGGCCGATTTAATTGACAAAGGAAGCATGTTATAAGGCTACCATTTTAAATTTAGTCCATTTCAAAATAAGAGTTATTATATACACCTTCTCTTCTGTTGTCAGGCCTACACAAACGGTTCTGTGAATAGCTCCTCTGTCAGAGGAAACAACCTAAAGGTAAGAAGCTTAATCCTCCCAATACTTTTCATACACGAGCTACTTCAGTTACTCAGAAACAGTCTGAAAGAGCCTCAGCTAAAACTATTGCCTAAAAGGGAGAGCTTCCATAATACACCTCATCTATTTCCCCTTCGACTAGACAGACTGTAAACCCTACTGTTCTCCACAGAGTTTGTAAGTCCTTCTTTACAAATGCTGTTTTAACAACTGCAACTGTTTTTCATTTTTGCTAGAATGATATTTTGCTAGAACGATATTCAGACAGTTTCCAGCCCTATTTATCCAGTGATTTCTTCTCATCAGTTGTCTAAAAAAGCCTTTTCAGATCAGATACACTTTTCTCTGAAATCTACAAAGACAGAAGTGGAGAGGACGGAGAGAAACCTGACCTGTTGTTCCTTGCAGAGGGTCTTGATTTGCACAGGCTGCAATTTGTAGGCGCCCCTGCTCTTTGTTATACCCAAGCCATCCCCAGCCTGATCCTTGGACACCAACTGATACAGCTGTCAGCTTCTCCTTGAAGTTCGCAAAGGAACCAAAATCACGCTTGATGGCTTCCATCAACTCTCCTTTAAAACAAAAAAACCCACGAACATTGCAGAAGGTCAGGTACTTAACATTCTTCTATTTCCATATATGTCCTGGAGACAGGAGGAAAGACAGAGAGAGGTAGAAGCATTTGGGCTCTGAGGGGAGGAGGTCTCTAGACAGGGTAGTTGCATCATTCATTAACAATTCTGTCCTGACCTGCTTAATAGAGCAAGAAAACAGGAAAGAATTTAATGCGGTACTCAAATATACCATTGTTAAACACACCGTCATGGTGCTATCCGCAGAACATGCAGGAGTTTACATTCTTGTCTAAAGGACAAGGGAACGCCATAGAGGAGGTCTAGGAAAAAAGGTAAGAAAGCAAGTTTGATCTGCATATCTAAGAGGGCAATCACAGAACAGCTGTGATTTCTTTGTCTTGGTACAAAGACATATCTGGGTGTCCTTCACATTTGTATAAATGAACGTATACCAAGATTTCAGATTATTTCCTCTCCCCTAAACCCTAGCACACTTTTGGTTTTCAAATACATAAATGTTCATTCTAGGCCTGAAGGTGTCTGTGCTGCCAATTAGCTGCGTAAGATTACATGTAAGAATACTTTATACAGTGCCACGCTGAAGAACTCCTCGTTCTTTATCCCCCCAACCCTCAGACAGAAGATTCGGAAAGTCAGTCTCTTGGTGACAGCTGCCAGTGCATCTCAGAGAGGCTTTAGCAGGTTTCCTACAAAAGCCTTGAATGATTCAGTTCAAACTAAAAGATGGTATTATAGGCTCACTGACTTTTTACTGATATAAAGCTTACCGACTGTTCAAAATAGAGCATAAAGTCTTTGCTACATTTCATGTTTTCTTTTGTATATTATCACCTTAAGCAGAGAATCTGTGCCAAAGCCAGTCTTGCTCATCCACGCAATACCTCAGATTTTTCTGTTGCGATTGGATCACACCGTACTGCAGTGGCAGCACTATTCTTTGCCAAATTATTAGCACAGCTACACTAATTAGGTTAAGAATAAGAATGAAAAAGAGTCGTTCTTCTAACAGCAACAATCATGACATTTTGGGAAGATAACTATACCAAGCTTCATGAAAAGGCTTGTTCCTGGAAAGCTCCACAAGAACATATGGATCACTTCACTGCTAGTATGGCTGAATCAGACACAGAAACGACTGAGATGAACCTTCAGCTGCAGATCTGTCACTCAGACGGTTCAGTCCTCAGGCTGCCAAATGTAGAGGGCTGGAAGTTTATGCCCCAGACCACAGAGTGTAGGCTATCACGGAAAGCAGTGAGAGGTTAGTTAATGCAACTCAATCCAACCACTACACTAGGTGGCCTGCAACACACACTGTCCCCCTCTGTGAACGCAGTACACGTATGTCATATCTTTATTAGCACAGCTTTGGGTAACTATTTTCTCTTGTGAAGATGGAAGGGACAATTTATAGCAATAGACAATTATTTTGCAGCACAGAGATAATCAACGTTAGAAATTAAAAATACTAGGATACACAGGACCAGCTTTTCATATTTTGCCTTTCATCCAAAAGACGATGAATTCCTCAGAATGGTGATAATTGTCACAGAAAGACAAATTAACTCTGAAAAATAAATACCCTTCAGACTCTCCCAAAGAGAGAAAAGACCATCAGTTCTAAGGGTCAATTAAAATGGACTCAATAAACCACAGTAACAAGCACTAACCTTTAGGTTCTCCTCCTCCATTAGGAGAAAGGTTTGTCCAGAAGATGGTGTGATTGATATGACCCCCACCATTGAACTTAATTGCAG